CACAAAAAGAAAACACTAACAAAAAACTGTCATTATAATGTGTGTCTATTATATAAAAGATCGCCTTGACCGTCAAGGCACAATGGAAGTTCACAATTATGTAATATAGAAGAGAATCTCAAATCTATTAAACAAAGATATAGTAGAGCAGCTTTACTTCTAGTACGTTTTACAATACAAGGGTTGTCTACGTGTGTGATACTCGAATGTATGGTATCATTGTAAATTTAGTCCATAAAATAACCGTAGAAGGAAACTGTAACAAAATAAACCAAAGCTGTGCTAACGCCTAGTTCACACCGTCATTTCTAGCTCAGGTGTCTGAAGCTCTCTGCACTGTTAAAACGGAATCATTACCCATTACCTAGAGGCTAGAGCCGATTTCTAAACAGCATATCAGTACATGATTTAAATCTTACAATTTCACATAACTCTCATTATACATTCGTATTATACAGAACAATTTTTAAAGTGAACGACTGACAGTTATTTAGCTTTTATTATAACATAATATTTAATTGATTGACCCTATATACTACATTTCCTTTCAATTTGCTCTACAAAGCATAATAGCTAAAGGTGTCGAGCGTGGCCTAGTGGTTATCATATCGAACTGCGAAATCGAAGAGGTCCATGATTCGCGTTCCATTACCTTAAAAACACGCTCTGCGCTTTGAGACCATGGGTGAATTATGAAAGTGATTGCCAAATCCCATTATTCGATTAGAGTAGCCCAAGAGATGGCGGGGAGGGAGTGATGTTGACTAACTGCCTTCTCTCTAGTCTATCAGTTTAAAATAAAGGACGGATAGCACAGATACACTTTGTGTCGATTTGCGCAAATACGTGAAACGAAGAAAAAGCTAATAATAATTTTATAGTTGTTTATTTGTTGAAGAAAACACCTGAAAGAAACTATGGTCACGTTTCACTAACAGGTAGCTCTTCTTCTTTTCATAGTTTATTTTCTTATGATTTTGATCATCGCCTAGTGATAACAAAGGTGTGTAGCATCTTCCACTGTTTTAATGTACGATGATTATTTCAAATGATCCATGTTTATGTAAGTTGAGTTTGCCAAAACATTGTTTTTTAAACACTGTAGATACTGAAGTAGTAAATACACTGTTCTGTAAAAGCAGTAAAATGAAAAGTGTAATATGATTTTACAGATAATCTTATTACTTACCTATCAATACTTGTAGTTCCAATGGTAAATACTGATACCGAAACTGTCAGGTAAGCAATGAAATTGTTTATTGTACAATAAGCAGAGCCAAATGGCCAATGGCTGTGCAACATGAAGATAAAATTAAAAATGCTATTGAACGTGGCCATCATCAGGTCTGAAAGAGATACATTTAAAAGAAAATAGTTTGTAATCGTTCTCATTCTGCGATGAGCTATAACAATCCAAATAACAATGGCATTACCAAATCCAGCTATGGTAACCATAAGCCCAAAAACGACAGTCCAAATAATTTGTTGCCACCAAAGAAGAACAAATTGACTTGTAAACTTATTTTTCGTCAAAAGATTTTCTAAGCAGGATTTTGTAACAGCCGAGAAGTTTGAACCAATATCTTCCAGGTATAAATAACTGCTATCTTCCAAAAGAAGGAAAGTCAAATTTTTGTCGCCTCCCAGCTGGCTAACACAATCTGTTAGGTTTTTAAATAAACTGGAATTTGCATTGTGTAGATAGATTTTTAAGAGGTCCACTACATTTTCAGATTTCATACTCATCTTTTTTTATAATTTTCTTTTATCTACATGTTAGAAAACAATTTATTTTACACTGGAAATTGAAGTTATATAAATCTATTCGACATTTTGTAAAAACACCACCCGTTCAAATAGGTTTAAGGGTTTCAATTGGATAGTGAGCATTTCGAACACTTGTTGTTTCGTACAAAATATCAATGGACATGCGCATCTATAAGCTACGTCACTGAACTCTATATAACGCTATACAGAGTTCAGTAGGGTACGTCTGTCTCACGTAGCAACAGGTAAATACTAGTTTCAACAACTATCATACTTTTGCGTGCACTTGCCTTTCGCGCCATCTATACAAATTTTAGTAAAGTACAATGCATTTCGTCAAATTTGTTTAGTGTGCATAACAAATATTGATGAATTGAAATGTCATACAGCGCCTCTTTGGAAAATATATGATAAATTTGTTTTGATTTTTTGTAAACACATGAGAACAAGCAGGATCTTCATAGATTAATTAGTGTTCTATAAATATACAAAGCGGTAAAAATGATTTTGAATACCAGTAAGGTTCAGTGTCATCAATGTAAGATCTAAACAGTAGAGTGAAGTTAGTGGGTCTTCGCTTAAAAGTTGTGATCTTTATATCTTTTTATATAAACAGGGGTTAATACTGCTCCAAGGCTAAATCATTCTAATAGTGTGAAAAAATGATATTCAGAAAGAAGAGAGCGTCAAAGAGTTTGTTTGTTTGTTTGTAATTGAGCACAAAGCTACACAATGGGCTATCTGTGCTCTGCCCACCACGGGTATCGAAACCCGGATTCTAGCGTTGTAAGTCCGCAGACATATCGCTGTGCCACTGGGGGGGCGCCTCAAAGAGAATATACCTTGCAGATCATTGGGGTAACAATTAAGTAGCCGCTGTGGTAGATTATTATGTATTTAAAAAGTAAATGTATCAGAGAGTAACTAAAATTTAAGTTATTATGATATGATACAAATTAAAGTGTAAAGATTTTAACAATCAATTTGCTATTGTGACTTTCTTTCTGTAATGTG